AGTAATGGGGCATGTCCCCCGCACTGCACCGTGCCTTGCTTCCCCACAGAGCCTCTACGGGGTGTACTACAAGTGTCCCTGTGAGAGCGGCTTGATCTGTGACGCCGATAAGTCCATTGTGGGTGCCATCACCAACACTGAATTTGGCATCTGCGGAGACCCAGCGGAAGCCAAGTAGTTGCAGTGAAGGAGAAGACCCTCTGGTGCCACCCCCCACCACCACCCCCCGCTTTTCCCCTCCCCAGGGATGCCAGGACCTTCCTGCGCTGCCCTGGCTGTGTCCGAGTAAAGAGCCTCTTCTGCCGAGCTGTGAGCCAGCCTTTCACTCCATCCACCCCTCTAGCACAGGATGGGGACAGCAGGGCCAGAAGGTCCTAGAAAAAGCCACAGGGCTGTGTGCACATCATATGTAATTGTATAATAACCTGGGCCAGGCCAGCAGCGAGCCATGGGGTGAGCTCTGCTCAGGGGATGTGTTGGCAAAGGGGGTGCAGGGGAAGGTGCAGCAGTGCTGGGACCTGAGGAAGCCTTTGGGTTGTGCCAGACTCAGTTTATTGGCTGACTACTGGCTGGAAACATCCCCTAGAAAAGGTTTGTCACTGGAGAAGAGGGACTTGGAGGTGATGTGGAAGCTGGGGGTGCTCATGGTGTTGGTGGTCATGTCCACCTCTGCCATACTGCTGGCTCAGGGACTGCAATGATAGGACAAGGGGTGATCGGTTAAAACTAAAACAGGAGAAGTTCAGGTTGGATCAAAGGGAGAAGCTCTTCCCTGGGAGGGTGCTGAGGCACTGGCATGGGGTGCCCAGAGAAGCTGTGGCTGCCCCATCCCTGGCAGTGTTCAAGGCCAGATTGGACGGCGGGCTTGGAGCGTGGAAGGTGTCCCTGCCCGGGGCAGGGGTTGGAGCTGGAGGAGCTTTAAGACTTTTTCCAACCCAAACTTTTCCATGATTCTGTGATTCTATGAGGGCCCCTCGAGCAGCAGCTCCACCAGCAGCTACTCTGGCTGTGGGATGTGCAGGAGCTCTGGGAATTCAGGCTGGAGCTGGGGTAAGGTGATGGGGGGAGCAGCCCTGCAAATCCCCTTAACCCTGTCCAGGGCAGGGTGGCTGCAGGGGGTGATGACCAGCTCGGAGCTGGTGGTTTGGGCATGGGGAAGGGGGTGCAGACCTGCTGTGGGGGGTGAGGAAGAGGAGGAGGCACTTGCCTAGAAGAACTGGGGGGG